GTAAACCAGTTGAATGCATCGACTCGAACGCTGGATATGTTGAAAGTTGGATAGAACATTTAATTTTTTCCAGTTTCAGACATGACATGAGGTCAAATAACCACTGTTTGTGAGTTGAAGGAGCCGCACCCTTCCACCTGGTTAGAACTGTGCGCCTCGCTAACAGTGAGCAGAATGCCAGTTCTGCCGTTTAGAGGCCAGTAAAGGCGACCCCTCACCACTAAAACCAAACAGAGCCAGAAGAGGGCCAGGTGTTATCACCACTCCCGCCAACCCAGATATTGTATGAAAAACATCTGTCCAGAAATGACCAAGAGCGGGGCAGGACCAGTACATACTGTATAATATTTAGTGCACAGAATTTTTAAAACTGTACACCATTAGTTTCATAATTTTCTTGAAAAACTCAAGTCAGATCAATGTAGTACACATATAATCCACAAGTGGCCAGTAATTATTTGCAGCAGAACATGTGCATCAAAGTGATATATAAGGTATATCAGGTCTTTTAATTGCATACCTCTCAATTTTCCTGTTATGCAGTTTATGCAGTATGCATTTTGCAAAGCAACAGGCAGTCTGCATATTTAGTGAACATATTTCTTGTATCTGAATTACAAGATAGTAAATTAAATCAATTTCTAATGAAACTGAACCAGTCAGAAGAGTAACAGACAGTAATTTGCTTTGTATATAAACGTTTAGAGTGCAAAAATATCTAGTGTTGACGACAGGTTTAGGATTATGGCCGACCAATTTATGTGACATAGAGTTGTAAGAGGAAGGTGATGAGGAGATATATGTGAAATAGACTAATTCTGAAGCACATGTAAAAGAAAAAAAGGTACTGGTGATGAGGAGGATATATTAGATGAAATCTTGACATGGAAGGTACAATGACTTGCATTAATATGTTTAGAATGACACATGGATTCATGGGGAGGAGCCTGGGTTTCACACATAAATATTATCCACAATATTGTCAGATGACTCATTTTTTTAAAGTGGAGCTTGAAATAAATCATATTCTTCTTTATATATATATATATATATATTTATTTTCTCCATAGCATTTTCTTAAGTGTTTTATTTTGTCTTTGTTTTGTAGAGTCAGTTGAAGGTGCAACGATCGTTTACACCGGTCCAACAGAGATCTTTGAGGGAAACTACCTAGATCTACAATGTAAAGTTGAACCTGGAAAGCATGTGTCCTACAAATGGTTTCTTAATGACCGCCTCATCACTGCATCTCCTTTTCACTTGATTGGAGATAACCGCTTGAGGATCTCCAGGTCAGTGCAAAACAAACAAACAAAAAAAAACATTGGTGTATTTGTATAAAGTGTACTTGCGGGGGGGTTAGAGAAAAGTTCATTGGATGGTGGACATGTACTGCAGTGGAGCTCAAAAGAAACCTTGAGGGTGCTGATTGTGTTAGTAGAGAGGGAATCCAGTAATCTCTCCAGAAGGAAAACCATGGAAGAAATATGTTGCAAATCCATTTAAACTACACTACAAGAGATAAGCAGCAAAACAAGGCATGGAGGGCTAGAGATATCACTGTACTGAGGTACACTAAGATACTGAAGCAACCATTCAGTTAACTCTGCAGCTCTGCTTTGCCCACCAAATTAATATGTAGCTCCAAGAAAAATAAAGATAAAACAATTCAGACAGATCTGAAATGTACTGTAGGATAGTGCATTTTTGATTCTCTATTAGTGAAGCACTCATGCAGCTCTGCCTTGAAATAATGTCTAGAAACTTCTGTGTAAAAGCAAACCACGACAACTGAAGATGGGCATTTCCTCACTTTTCCCTCAACCCAAAATAGCAGTTTCAATGTATTTTTCAAAACAAAAGCAGTTAACTGATGAATAGGGGAGGGTGGCACAGCCAGCATGGATTGATTTAAACCATTGACCCTTTTTTTCAATTTGATTTTGTAAAGTTACAGCAGTCATCCAAAGTTAAGAAAACAAGGGGGTGGGGTATTTTCTTTTAGACAATGTCACAAATTGATGAGATGGATTTATATTTGGTTATACTAGCCTACATGTCGTCTGGTGCAATGTGTTGCAAAACATCCAGATTATTCATCGATTAGAAAATAAATTATTTAGAGCAGAATTGCTTCCTGAAACACTCAGTGGTAGTTTTTAAAGTTTAAAGGAGAAACTCACTAAGGACCCGACAGTCTTTATGAGAAAGTTTAATAATTTTAGCCTCTACTGTGTTACAGGCTGAAGAGAGAAAAACTGCTTTGAAAAATAGGGGCTAGCAATAGCTGGGCCTCACTGGTGTGTTTGTCCCTGCAAGGTGTGAGAGAAATTAAATTTGTAACAAATGAGCTGAAAGAAAAATATGAAGAAAAAAAAAAAAAAAATAGCTCCAGTAAAATACAGGAAATTTACCCTTGTGCGTGCGCGGGGAGACCTGATGCAATACAGGACCTGAGCACCATACAATTTATTGCAATTTCATGGGAGGGGGTGTCGATATATTCATGCATTGTTTCACTGTTTACTGCAGCAAAATGAGGGAGAAAGTGAAGATTATTTAGACAAATCTTTTGTTCTCCTTTTGGCCCCCATCTTCAGTCAAGGCCCCTTAGAATCGTTGTAACTTTCCCCCCCATACGGCACCCCTGCCAGAGTTAAAGCAGTCATAACTTCTTTAGAAATTGTACAGGCCAACATCTACACTGTTACTGACATACAGCTGAACTTTAACAGATTGACTGAGCTGAACGTGGGCATGCTTAGCCCTGTACCTTTGTCATAACTGCAGATCTCCAAATATGAAGACATTATGTCATCTAAGTGGGCTGTTTTGGTGATCATTTTACATCAGCCTGTCCTGTCTTCATGTTTTTCAGAAAAACACAGTAAGGTCTTAGGAACAAAAAATTATTTCAAAGTTTTGTTGGTAAAAAAAATGTTTGCATGAGTGCTTGAAGTAAACCTAACAACATTGCTTGCACTATTCTAAAGAAAGGCTAGAGTTGTAATTATCTGTTTCATTCCCAGAGTTTCCTCTAAAGACAGCGGCTCCTACATGTGTCAGGCTATATACGTCCTCAATGAAACAATGATGTCCACCTTCAACAGCCCGGAAGTTTTGATTACCATTAAAGGTTGGAACACATCAGAAGCAACTGTCAGATTATACAATCACTGCCAGAAGCACCCTGACCCCTTGAACTTTTAACACTTTTCATCATGCTAAACCGCAAACATGAATATACTTTTTTGGAGGGTTTTGTGGAATTAAGTTATTCTGTGAGGCCTCCAAGATTTGCTCAATAACTTAAGTAAATAAAAAGCATCACCAAGATCAAGGAACACTGAGCTATTGTGGAGATTAAAGCAGGTTTAGGTTATAAAATATTGTTCTCAAGCTCTAAAAAGTCCAACAGAGCTCTGATCAATCCATCATCTGAAAATGGAAAGGCAATGCAAATCTACCAAAACATGCCTGTCTTCTTGGCTGGGAAAGGGAAGCATTAATCATAGAAGCAGCTAAAAGGACTTTAGTAGATCCTGTGGAAGCTGTAAATATCTGCAACTAGGAACGGCAGAGTAGAACGACTAGTGGTAAACACAAATAAGTTAAAATATCCGCAAAACAGGCTTAAATCAGACGCAACCAGACTTTGGCTCAGTTTTTCTAAAAATGTTTCGAAACACATGGACAAAATTGTTGTTATCCCTCTTTTAGTAAAAAAAAACATCATGGTCAAGGATAACCTGACAAAATAATCTGATGAGATAATCTGACAAAAGTAATACTAAATAAAGAAATATCTATAAAAATTATAATATTTTGGGTCATTGGCTCTTTTGGGTCATTATCCTGTTGAAGACCTGTGGCCTGTGACTTTCTGACATTGGGCAGTATGTCTCTCTATAATCCAATAATAGTCTTCAGATTTCATTGAACCCTGTAGAGATTCAGACACCCTGAGTCAGATGAAGCTAAGCAGCTCTAGAGCATAACAGAGCCTCCGCTGTGTTTGACAGTAGGACCATTGTTCTTTAATTGATATGTTTCATTTTCCCATCTGTTAATATAGAGCTTATGTGCCTTAGCAACAAGTTACATTATTGTCTAATCTGTCAATATTACATTTTCCCAAAAGCTGTGTTTGGCAAAAGATGAACTCAAGAATTAGTTTTTTCAGATCCTGCAGAGACATTAGGAAAAAAAAAAGCATTACGTCAATCATTGATTGTACACTTCTCCTACTAAGAACGATTAGAGAAGTCTGTAATTTTCATCAAAGGTTTCCCTATGAGAGAATGAATGAAAATAAAATCACACTGTAGGACAGCAATCACCAACGTAGAGTCCACGGCCACCCAAGCGAACCAAGGTCGCCATAGGGTGCCTTCAATGTCTTCTAAAAACAGCACAACCAGTGGGCTAAGTTTGACATTTTATTTTATTCTGTTACTCTTATTTTTTTTTATCACACTTACACTTATAGAGATTTCAAATTATCAAAAATAAAAACTAGAATGAAAAGAGACATTAAAAATATATTTATTATGCATGAAAGTTAGGTGAATGCTGACTCCTCCACTTTATAGGTCAGTATTGGTAGCTCTTCCTTTGGTTTAGAACCCATGATGTAGCTCTAATCTTAAGATGGTTGTTGATCCCTGTTGTAGGATTTATGAAAAATTTATTCATAACTTATGCTGAGAAATAAGTATTTGGTCAAAATTAGCAAGATGTCATCCAGTGGGGTCAAAATAGTTATGAGAACTATGAGCATGAATCCCAGAACTACAGGGATAGACCTGATGAGTGAACTGCAAAGAGCCAAGACCAAAGAAATAAAAGATTCCATCAGTAATACATTATGCTGGGAAAGAACCAATTATCCTGACATGTTGGGCCAAAACCCCCTTCTATCAATATGCTTGGGTCTTCCAGCATGACAATGAGTACAGTAGCTCTGTAGAAAAAAGGAGCAACAGCCCCAAACCATAAATCCTGTAGAGAAGATCTGCATGAAGGAATGGACTACAGCAAACCTGATTAAGACTTACGGGAAATATTTTATCTCTGTCATTGACACAAAATATTGTCAAATTGCGTTACTCAATAAATACTTATTTTTTTCGCCAATATTTTAAAATCCTATATTTTGATTTCCTGGATGTTTGTTTCTCATTTTGTCTCCCACAGTTCCGATCACAGTCCCGGTTCCAATTACTGTAAGATGCTTTATTTCATATCAGCAGAACAAACCTTCTCCTTGTTTCTGTTTCCACAGACTTGGTGTCTGCTCTTGACATTTCCTTTACTGTAGTGAAGGAGGATGATCACAATTATTCAGCCATCGTTTCTTGTGAGTCTGCGCGGGGAGATCCACCTATAATCTTTTCCCTTTACCATGGCAAAGAGCTGATTGGCACTGTGAATCAGTCAGAGAGAAACGTCACCTTCAAGATCCCAGCTGTTATTGGCCAACACTCTGGATGGTTGCAGTGTCAGGCCAACAACGGGGGTCAGACTACATACAGTTCATGGTTGCCCTTTGAAATTGGTAGGTAAAAGTATACATATAAAAATAGTGCCACCTTAAAACTTTATTTACTTTTTAGTCTCTAGACCTGAGGAGTCCAAAATGCCACTCAGGAATAATCTTGTGTGATTCCTGAATGGTACAAATCCAGCAGTCCATTAATTGATGCTGATGCAGATAAGCCTTTCATGTTTTAAAAATGTCATTCTAGTTTATAACTTAATTACTCATTGTAGTTGCAGAACAAATGTTTGAAAACCTTGATTTTTATTAAGAACCCCTTTTTGACATCATTTCAGACTCACAATAATTGGTTATTTTCTACTTTGCTTATCTAAAATACTTTATTTTAAATGTATTGCTGTATTACCGTTTTGCTCTTTTAATTGAAAATTACATAACATATATATGATATAGCCTCTGAGGGCTTTCAACTTGCCAATTTTCACAGATGCTGCAAAGAGCTTAAGCCCAAACCTCTAGAATGAGAATAGATATCTATTAAAATAGTTGTTGCATTCCAAAAAAACCCTCAACAATCAAGATTTCTTACTTATAAATCGTTTTCTAGTTTGTTGCAGTTACTAGATGTGCTGCAGCACTAATGCTACAGACAATAGCAGATTATAACATGGTTAATGTTTACCTTCACAGTGAAAAATGTTATTCTGCTAATCTCTGAAGATAAAAAGAACCTTCCTTTTATCAGATTTTTTGTCTTACAACGATCCATGTGTGCTAATGATTTTATCATTACATACGTCAATTCAAGAATTTATTTTCTGTACTCACTTATGTTGTGTTAAAGATTGCAGCTAAGTCATGCCTGAAGCCAAGCAGAGTGTTTAACAGTCAATACTGTAATAACTGAGAACATAGTTAAGGTCAAACTGAGACAATAAACATGTGTAGACCAGCATAGGGTCTTTAAAAGCTGAAACTTCTATCCGTCTGACTTTAAACTTCTTATAATCTGTCCCCAGTCCCAGTTTCTGGCCCAGTCATGATCGATTCTGACCATATCATGGCAGAAAACTATGCTATCATCGGTCTTATACTCTACTGCAAGGTAGCAAAGGGAACTCACCCACGATTCCAGTGGTACCACAACCAGACCCTTCTACAAGATCAAGGAAGTTTCTACTATGTGGTCCATCAGCCACCAGAACAATCACTACTGGTGATGTCAGTGGACACACGCAGCTCTGGGATGTACCGCTGTAAAGTGTGGGACAGCTTTGATGACACTAAGTTTATAAGCAGCAAGAGGCTCTATGTAGACAAAGAAGGTAAACGGTGGACATTGCTTAAATAATGACTCTTTAAGACATATCTTTAATTGCTTTAACTTTTTTTTTTAGTGCTGAACCACCTTCCCATTGCAGTGGTGGCTGTTGTCCTCAGTTGTTTCGTGCTTCTGATTCTCCTTGTAGTGTTTTGTTGCATTTCAGGAATCATGTTCAGTAAGTTCAGTCAATATCATTTCTTTATTATTGGGAACACTGGGTTTGTGTTCCCCAGCTGTAAAAGGGAATTACATTTGTCTATTTCTCTTTCAGCGAGGAAGCAGTATCAATCAAAATTAAAGTGAGTGTTCTCTTCTTTTAAGTTCAAATATGTATCTTATATGATATAAAACGTAAAGATTCAGTTGTTTCTGTCAGATGAAAAGACAAATTGACTATAGGAAAAGCAAGATTACAATAAAGTATAGCTATATTTCTTGTCCTGTTGAAAGAATAAAAAAGGAAGGAAGGAAGGAAGGAAGGAAGGAAGGAAGGAAGGAAGGAAGGAAGGAAGGAAGNGAAGGAAGGAAGGAAGGAAGGAAGGAAGGAAGGAAGGAAGGAAGGAAGGAAGGAAGGAAGGAAGGAAGGGATCTCATTAAAAATTTTTTATAGATTTTAATGTTTACAGAAAAAATATTGCAGAAATTTATTTTTTATTTTAAACTTAATTTTCTTTAGTATTTTCATGCCACCTGCACACCCCATAAAACCCCTCTTCTACAGTATTTACAGACATGTCCTTCCTTATAAGCCCACGTCACAATCTAAATTTGCTTTGCTGTAAATACCCGACTGCTTGGATATGTTGGGGCTGTCAATAGCAGCATTTATATAGACAAAAATAAACTATTTAAAAAAATCTAACAAGATTGTTTACACTGACTTTGGTTGTCAAAACCCAGTATTTTGGTGTTTTTTCCCCTTTTAGCGCAAGTCTTAAAATGGACCGAATAAGTGTTGTATCTGTATCTGAGGATGACCTGGTAAGTCAGTTTTCCACTGTTCTTACCATTGAACTATATCCTCCACATTAGATCACCATATTAGATCACCTTAAAGATCTGACACCAATCCCCTCTTGCAGAACCTGGCAGAATACGGGGAGGACCCTGATGTGGGAAGAGCACCCAGAGAGCATGCATTTTATCAGGTGAGAGAACATTTTTATTTCTTTCATCATTCAGCTCAATATAAAACCCTTAAAAAATATTTAAAGTACTCTTATCACGTCCTGGTCAGGAATCTGAATCCTCTGAAGAGGAGTGGTCTCTACACGAGGAGGAAAGAAGAACACTGGAGTTTTAAGCTGATTGAAAGGATTTTTTTATTGATGTATTTACTGTGGGTAATATGTCCCGTGATTCTGTTCTAGTGTGAAAATTTGATAGTTTCTAACAAAATAAAGAGAGCCTTCCAAAATTGAACTTTTTTTTTTTTTTTTTTTTTACACTTTGTAATATTTTGAACCCAAACATCAACTTATTTCACTTGGATTCTGTCTGATAGTCTTTTCAGGAAAAATGTCATGTTGCTTCACTTTCACCAATTGAACGTTTCTTTCAATATGCATGTAACACATCTAAGGGTTACACTATGTCTTATTTGTGAACTTTGCATAGGTTCTGTTCTAAATAAATTTTGTATTTGCCAAAGATGTGGAATGAGTTGATGATTGTGAAATAAAAGCAAGTATCTTCCATGTTTGGGTTAGAAAATAAACTATTTGGGACAAATATTTTTGTGTGTAGCACTTCTAATTTTTTTGATAAATTATTAGTGAAGAAAGTTCCCCTGATTTAGGGTGAATCCTTTAGTTAACTATACCCTCCAAATCACCCCTTTAAAGTTACTTCTGTTAATTGTTAATACATTCTGTTGAGAAAATGAAAACTCTTTCTAGATGCTGATCAGTCATCAGTTCTCACTGATTCTTTCATTTAATATCTATAGGTCATGCAAAGCTCTATAAGCTCAACTGCACACACTCATATACAGCATTTTAAAAGTTTATTTAAAAAACGTAATACTCTTATCCTACAGCGTGTTTATTTTGAACAAGCTCAATATGTAAGACAAGTTTCTCTTCTTACATTGAAAAACTTTTCCTCCTGAAAAAAAATAACACCATCAGGCCTAGATTTCTGAGGAGCTGGATGGACCACCATCTACCCTAACCCTACCTGGACATTTGTTAACCTCAGAGGCCTGCAGGAGGTGACTACAGGGGACAGAGTCTGACTCTGACTGCAGACATCTCAGCTAACTCACCTGCACACCAGTTTCAGAGCTTCTTATGCTACGTTCACACCGGACGCAGCAGGCGCAGCAAAATTGCGTCTGCTGCTTCATTTTTGCTGCTTGTACCATTTAGTTCTGACACACGGCTGAAGCAGCTTTGCTGCTCTGGCTGCGCGGTGCAAAAGTGGGTCTGACGCGCGTTGGGCGGAGCTTCTCTATCCTTTCTTTGCCTTGCAGTTATATTTGCTGTGATCAGTGGGAATAAAGTAGTTTTAATATGTTTTTAAGTGGGAAAATTCACCTGAAAACTTAATCAGTGCAGTCAGTTCATCCAGATTACCATCCTGCATTCAAATATTATTTCTGTTGGAGCCGCTCAGACCCTCACATACCAGCGGTGCCAGCTGTCAGTAGGAATCCCTTTCATCAGCAGCCTCTGGCCGGGTCGCCTCCTAGCGGTTCACCGCGGCAGCTGGTAGGTGTTTTTCATCAAAATAATCCAAACTGCAGGCACCTGAATAATAGAAGCGAACATATTCCGTCTGCAGGTTTCAGCATTTTAAAGCTACAGTGTGTAATTTTCAGCGACATCTAACGTCCAGACTGCAGACCGCAGCAA